CGCAAGGTCTTGAGAGTCTCGCTGTACATGTGAAGCCAGGTGAGGAGGTCTCTCGGAGAGAGGGAGACGCATTATTTGCAGATACACCGAGGTCTGGTTACCACCAGCTGTGACTGTGCTCCTGGTTAAACAGCTGGTTAGACATATGGACGTCAACCAGCACCACAGCACCAGCTACTGCCCGGTCTCCACACGGAGCCATCACTTGAAAACCAGGGATGGAGAAAGGAAAGGAAGCAGGTTTGGGAAATAACATAAAGCAACGTAATTTGTAGTTTTCAGAGAAAAGAACCCAGTGAAAATAAAATTGGTGTGCTGAGTTTGAGGCTCTAAACAGGCTCTATGTAAAAAAAAAAAAAGTCGGCTATAGAAATGTAAAACTGTCATAATCTCAGTTGCACTTGGAAAAAATAAGAAAGTCTAAAATAGAACTTTTTTTGGCCTGCCAACTGAAAATTGATATTTTCATTATGCTTTGGGTCCAGGGTTGATTTGTAAATACTAGGAAAGCTCCATTCCAGAGTTTAAAAGAATTTCCCATGTAAACCTCAGAGGGAAAAGTAAGAAAATGTCCCCATGCATTTTTGTTTTTTTTAATATATATATTTTATTGATTTTTTTACAGAGAGGAAGGGAGAGGGAAAGAGAGAAACATCCGTGAGAGAGAAACATCAATTAGCTGCCTCCTGTACACCCCCCATTGGGGATGTGCCCACAACCAAGGTACATGCCCTTGACTGGAATCGAACCCAGGACCCTTGAGTCCGCAGGCCGACGCTCTATCCACTGAGCCACACCAGTTTCAGCGTTTTTTAATGGCAGCAGGGATGGGGCTCTAGGTCTCCTCCTCTGCGTGCTGTAAGGGCTTAGCCACGTTCTGACACTCTGGGTACAAATGAAACAAAGGACTTTTGTTAGAGGGAGGAGTAGGGAGAGCAGATATAGATATAGATATAGATATAGATATAGATATAGATATAGATATAGATATAGATATAGATATATAGGCTAATATGCTAAGTGTCCCTTCACATGTCCAACCGGTCACTATGACACGCACTGACCACCAGGGGGCAGACGCTCAACTCAGGAGCTGCCGAGCTGCAATGACTTGGCAGCAGTGGTTCTCGGCTGACACACCCCGAAACCAGAGAGGAAGGAGCCCGATTCCTCACAGGGTTGTGGGTTATATTGTTGCTGGGGCTCTGTCGGCCTCAAATCTGGTTTACTGCTCACTTGCGTTTGCATTCCACACCCTGCACCACAGCAGCTTTGCAGAGCGCCCTCTCACACGCCAGGACCCCTCGGGGGATGTCAGAGAGCCTGTTTTGGCCTGATCGCTGCAGGCCATGCCGAGGACCCCGCTTACTCTACAGACGGCCTTCGAGCACGGCACCACCCCAGGTGCAGACGGCTCGGGAGAGACTGCGTGAGGTTGGCTCCAGGGCGTGTCCAATTCATCTCACCCAGCCCTGCTGACCACCTTCTAATTAATTTCCTTTCAATGTGCACAAATCCATGCACCGGGGCACTGGTATAAAATAAGAAAACTTTACTAATTTCTACAATTTGGATCTGGACACATGCTAACCTTCCCTTCCTCATCTTCCTCTACAGTTCCTACCACTGTATCCACACTTCACCCTTTAATTACTCTCAGTGAACTGAGAGCCCTCAATTCCAAGTCCGGCTGACCTAGACTCTAGTCTGAACTTTGTCACTAGCCACAGGACTTTGAGAGGTCACTTCTCTTTGGTCCTTGGTTGTCTCATATGCAAAATGCTTAGACCACGTGACCTGTTTGTCCTTCTGGGATGCGAGTGCTGACAGCAGACGGTCTGTGCCTGCTGAGCAGGGAGCGGGGGAGAGGCAAGTGTTGGCCTGGAGTGGGACGTGGGCCTGGGTGCGCACAGACCACAGCATTCTTGAGCCTCTGGGTGGAGCTTTCTCCTAGCACCTGAGCACTGGCAACTGCCACCCCTATTGCCCAGACTCAACGTGCCAGGAAGGCGGCAAAGGCCACCAGGTAGAGCCTGCAGGACAGGCTGGGGAGCAGCTGGCTCACAGGCCAGGCTACCCGAACTCAGGAAGTGTGTGAAGGATCAGCCGGGCACTGCGACAGGGCTCCTGTCCCCGCAAGGCTTGTCCCAGCAGCCCCCTCAGGCCAGGGCTGACCAAGGACACGCAGGGGCCGTGGCCACCACGCCCGGGGCCCCGAGCAGCCAGCGGACCAGCACTTTGGTCAGTGAGTGCAGAGGCCGTGCCCCCGGGAGGCAGACGCCGCCCTTCCTAACAGACGCCGATTGCAGGAACACGCTGGGCCTCCGGTGTGGTCGCCACTGGATGTCTCACCTCTGCTGAGACAAGGTCCACGAGCGAAGCAGCCTGTCCCCGCTGCCTGTGGGTGCGTTTCCCACTCCACCTGCACCGCAAGGCGCACACCGTGGGTGTGGTGTTCTCACTCCCAGCAGCATTCAGCGCGGCCCTGGCCCCCAGCCCCCAGCTCAGTGAGCGGAACGCAGCCCACGGAGTGCACAGGCCTCGGCGTCCTTCCGAGCAGGGGACACGTGTGCAGACTGCAGTGAGGGGGTGGGGGAGGAAACGTTCCCACTGCACAGCCACGCGTTTGAAGACAGCCCAGCTCTGGTCTCAGACATGGATTAGTAATTCCCAGAACTGCTTGGCTAGTCCCTGCAGCCACATGCACACTCATGTGTGTGCGTGCGCGCGCACACACACACACACCCCGTTTCCCCGAAAATAAGACAGTGTCTTATGTTAATTTTTGCTCCCAAAGATGCGCTAGGTCTTATTTTCAGGGGATGTCTTATTTTTCCATGAAGAAGAATACAGTACACATTTATTGTTAAATGAAAATAAAGGACATTTATTACCTGTATACGGTACGATAGTACAGTAGTTGTCAACACAAATCAGACAAACTGTGAATCCTACAGTATCAAGAATTTACTCATGTATTCAATGACAATCCTGTCATCATCTTCTGGAACATCTTCATAACAATCCAATTCCTGAATTTCCTGGTGAATTTCTTGTGACTCGATTTCTTTCAGAATCAGTGGACCAAATCTCTCATGTTTAGCAACAGCACTGTCTTTAGATGAGTACTTCTTGTCAAGGTAACCTGCTTGCAGTGCATTTGCAATGCAACTGTCAGCGACCAGTTTATGGTAAATTAATTTTCATTCCGAGACAGAGTCTGGGGGGGGGGCCTTATTTTCGGGGGGGATGCCTTATATTTCACTCAGAAGGAAACCTGTAAGTAAGTCTTATTTTCAGAGGATGTTTTATTTTCAGGGAAACACGGTATGCACTCGTGCACACGCTCTGCCTGTAAATAGGCAGTGATGGCGGCTGCTGCTGTGTGGCAGTCAGCTGCCCTTCACACCACCCTGGCATGGCCCTGGCGATAGCATCTCGTCGGGACCTCTGGCCTCCCCTGGTGCTGGTGCCGCTTCCTCCTGGCCCACCTCCGAGCACCTGCCTTTCCCGTGGCCTGCCCTGCCCCGGGTCTCTCCGTCCTCCGCCCCGATCTCTCCGTCCTCTGCCCGCGGCTTCGGAAGGCCGCGCTGTCTGGTGCCTTTACTCCTTTGTAGCTGCGGCTGGCGCCCAGCGCCCGGAGCGCTCTGGGAGAGAAGGCTCTGGGAGAGAAGGCGTGGCAGGGTGGCACAGCCTCGAGGGCAGGGCCTGCAGTCGGGACACTTGGATTTTAATCCCACTCAGCTGCCAAGGCCTCTAACTCCCATTTTCACAAGTGTGCCCCAATTGTGTTTTCTGACTCGGGCTTGTGCAGGCACAGACCGCGAGCACCTCTCACCCAGCCCCACCCGGTCCTCACCATCACACCCATCCGGGCAGCCATCGGTGCAACCCAGTGCGGGGGAGCCTGGCAGAGGGGCGGGTCAGTCCTCCCGCCAGGAGCTCACCTGATGGAGATCGCAAACCTCACAAATCTTTTTGAGAAATGGGATGGAAAAGAGCAAAATCGGGCTGTTAATGAGATAAAACAGGATATATGCTGAACACATGATTTAGGCCTTTCCACAGAAATGAGCTTAGACACTAGTATTGCGTGTTAGAACCGGGCCTGATCCTCCTCTTCCGTCCCAGGGCCTCCCAGGCCTCCCACCCCACCCCACCCCTGTCAGGGAGAGGAAACTCATTCATCGCCTCCTAGACCGACTGTAGGCTTTTCCATTTAGCCAGACACTGATTTTATGCGTGTGGTCAATAAATGCTGTGTATTCATAAAGCTCAGTACTTCCATACAAATCTTACTTTAGACACAAATCCATGGTCCATGTTTTAATGACCTCATTTCTAAAGAACACAGTGTTTATCCTGCCCAGGGAGACGTGCCACAAGCCCTCGGACCAGCAGAGCCCTGGGGTGAACGAGGTCCCGGCTTTGACAGGACTCGCCAGGGCCAGCCCCGCACTCTGCCCCCACGGTGCCACCACACGTGTGCCCAGACCAGCCATGCGCCTGCGGACCGGTCCCTGGGAGAACCGACCAGAGCCCGGCGCTGGGTAGGACGTCGTGTCTGCCATTTCCCACGGCGGCAGCCTATGGTCTGCATCATCCCAAGTTCCCTCTTTTCCCAACGGAATGAATTCCTCAAGGTTCAGAGACTAAAAGTTTATTTCCCTATTTCATCATTTTCTTTAAAAAGCTTACTTTTTGACAAAGTAAAACCAACCTTCAGTACCATAGAACCCTTCGCATGGACAATGCACATTCTCTCTGTCCACTGCGAGGGGCCAGCCCGGCCAGGACCGAGCTGCGCACCCTGCGAGGCCACAGCGGCAGGAGTGCTGGAGGCACGGTCCTGGCTGGGGACACCTACAAACTGGAAGACATAAATAAGACGCCAACGAGCTGGGAATCGTGAAACCGCCTGAATCCAGTCCACAGCTCCGGGAGCCAGCCTGAGGGCCTGTCACCAGGAGACGCTGCTCTCGCGGCGAGGACAGCGCCGCTCACAGCCCGTTCTTCACCAGCTCATGGGCCCCGTGCTCGTCGATGATCAGAGGCGCGTGGAACTCCCTGTTGGCCACGAGGCTCTCCAGTCCCTGACGGAGGGGAGACACAGCAGGCTAGGGAACAGCGACAGCGGCTACAGGCAGCCAGGCTGCGGCCACGCTTCAGGGAGTGAGGGCAGGGGCTGGGCCAGATGCAGAGGGAGTCAGGGAGAACGATCGGGTGCACACCTTCTTCCTTATTACAATGCTGGTTTATATGGTGGCCTGTGGGCCTGCAGTTCAGTCTTATGCCATGAGCACATTCAAAATAAAACCCAAAACTTGGTAAGAAAAAGTTAGCACGAGGTCAGAGGGTTAGGAGCCTGATTAAAGTCAAACATAAAGCAGTCAGGGGCTCTTTGGAATTGCCACCATTCCCGGCTCCCCACAAGCACCAGCCGGCATTTACCCGTTTCTGAATGAAGCCTGGTGCTCACTGACCTTCAGCACTTCCAGGTTGTCTAAAAGGGAGCTGGTGGGACTTTGAGTGACCTGGCAATTTGTTGGCATCAAATCCCTTTAAACCTCTGCAGCTGATGGTGGAGAATTGACGGTTGTTTTTTGTTTTTTACATTTTATTATCTTTTTTATCTTTATTGCTGGAAGTATTACTCAGGTCCTCCCATTTACCTCTTCCAGCCACTCCTGCCCCCACGCCACCTTCACCACCCTATTGTCTGTGTCCACGGGTTATGTGTATGACACAAGGTCTTTGGCTGGTCTCATCCCGCCCACCCTCTCCTGCCTTCCCTCTCAGGTCCCACAGTTGTCCATCTCTCTGTTAACCTGTTCATCAGTTTATCTGGGTCATTTGATCCCACATGAAGGCGAGATCGTGTGACACTTATCTTCTCAGACTATCTGGTTCACACTTAAAACTGAGCTTAATGACCACTTATAACAGCAGGAAACAGACAACACACAGTGACGTCATTCTGATTATAACGGCATCTCTGAAGTCAGTAAGATGACACTCATTCTTCCTTTAATCGTCCCCAGTGCAGGTCACTTGCTAAGCATGGGGGCAGGGTGGCTGCCTCTGATGGGGTCTCTCACCTATTAGAAGCTCCTTGGTTCTCAAAGCAAGAGCACTAGGTTTGTGAACAAAACAGACCCTCCCTGTGGCTCAGTGGTTGGAGCATTGGCCTAGGATTCAATTCCCAGTCCCGGGCATGTACTTGGGTTGCAGGTTCAATCACACCTGTCGGGATACATGTGGCAGGAGTGATGTGTCCAGTGGATGTGTCTCTCTCACATGGATGTTTTTCTCTCTTTCTCCCTCTCTTCCTACCATTCTCTCTAAAGGGCAATGGGAAAAGCATCCTCAGGCGGGGAATAATAAAAAATAAGTGAAGGAAGAGGGGTCATGGGGCCATCCATACAACAAGGCTGCCATGTTCGGAAAAGCCCGCTGCGTCTCAGGGCCAGAGTCTTCGTGGGAACCAGCCTCGTGGATCGCGGGGAAAGGGCAAGAGCAACAGCAGCTCTGCCAGGACCGCTCCATCCTGGGAGGGCAGCTCCATGGAAACGGGACCCAGGGTAGACTCCACCTTAAAGGAGCAGGAAGGCTGTACTCACCTCTCCGGCGTAGGAGCTGAGCGGGGAGACTTCACACTGGATCGGGTTGTCGCTGGCATCCTTCAAGCTGGGGAGAGACCACGTGTGTCAGACTGTCCCCGCATCGCCAGGCAGGAGGAAAGGACAGAGCCTTCCTCTGAGAAGCTGTGAGGACAGTTCTGCTGTTACAGCCCCACGACCACCAAGCGCCCAGAGGAGGAGGTTCGGACACGGTCAGGGTCAGCAGACGCCCCGGGCGCACGCCTCCCGGACACCTCACTGTTCACACTTCCAAGTCTTAACAGACAAAGAAGAGACAACGGACTAAACAGACATGTTCCGGGTACGTCGCCAGGTACTTCAATCCTTCACACTTCACTTTACTCCTCACCGCCCCAGAGAGCGAGGCACCACGTGTGACAAAGACGCTCACAATGCAACCGAACGGCAGCTACTCGCCACGTAGGCACTCACAGTTGAACTCCTGGAAACTGTAAAACTGAATCTTAATTTTAAAATTCAATTCGCATCACAATGACTGAGTTCCAAGTGCCCATAGCCACGCATGGCTGCGACAGCAGGCCCATCACCACGCCACCTCCAGGCCACGCTCAGCACTGACAGCACCTGCAAGCCTGCGTGTCTCCATCACCCGGCACAGAGCCACAAGCAGTGTTAAATCCCATTTAAAGCCGTAACACCTCCGAGTTTTCGCAGTTTCAAGAACTGTGCAGCAGAAAACAAGGTGCATGGAAGCCTGCCTCCTGCCCCTGGACACCCCTCTCCGCCCTGTGCTCACACAGACCCCTCTCCGCCCTGTGCTCACACAGACCCCTCCCCGCCCTGTGCTCACACAGACCCCTCCCCGCCCTGTGCTCACAGACCCCTCTCTGCCCTGTGCTCACAGACCCCTCCCCGCCCTGTGCTCACAGACCCCTCCCCGCCCTGTGCTCACACAGACCCCTCTCCGCCCTGTGCTCACAGACCCCTCCCCGCCCTGTGCTCACAGACCCCTCTCCGCCTGTGCTCACACAGACCCCTCTCCACCCTGTGCTCACACAGACCCCTCTCTGCCCTGTGCTCACAGACCCCTCTCCGCCCTGTGCTCACACAGACCCCTCTCTGCCCTGTGCTCACACGTGGCCCAAACAACAGCCCCGCCCAGTGCTGAGCCCAGTGGGCCGTGCCTGGTCTTCCTCCAGCAGAGCTGGCAGCTGAATTCAAGGTACTCATGCTTATGTTCTGCTCCCAGGACCCCCATCTGCCACGCCACTCAGACCAGCCACTCCGGCTCATTCAGGTCACTCCCACCAGCTCCCTGTGACAGCTCACCACCCAGCCTCTTGATCACTCTAGCCCATCTTCCCCTGATTCTACTCCACAGCGTCCGCCTTCCTTCGTTTACTCAGCAAACCATGCTTCTCGGCATCACTGCGGCCCTGTGCTACGGCTCAGCCGGCGGGATTCCTGCTCTGGCACACAGCCCCCGGACCGTATAAAGAGGCAGCCAGCCGATGCTTCTCTCTCACATGGAGGTTCCCCCTCCCCTCTCTCAAGTCAGCAAGCACATCCTCATGTGAAGGTGAAGACCCACACGCACGGGACTCTCCCAGGGCTGCAGGCAACGCTTGCTCTCCGCACGAGCCCCGGGGCACCTGCACGCCCGCAGCATCTGTGGCCTGAGTGGGCGTGGCTCTCGGGCTGATGGGAGGAAAGATGCTTTAAAGGTGGGGCGCATGGCTCTGCAGACCTGTGTCAGGTTCCATCTCGAGAGCCCCAGAGATCTGGCGCAGACCCCTGGGCAGCTCGGGGTCACATACGCCAAACGGGAAAGTGAAGTTCCACCTAACCTGAACCTCAGGCCAAGGGACTTGGTTTTGAACCCGAGGAGCACACAGCTGGCTGAGCATGACCTCCCTCTGAACCACAGAGAACTAAAGGGAACGGGGAGAAAAGTGCCTACACAAAGCACCTGAGCAGGGAGGACTTTAAAACTTTGTATCTTAGCTGTGAGCTGGAGGGTGCTTGCAGCCGTACAATAATGCTCACTTCTCGGGTTCAGAGCTGTGTGGTTCAATGAGAAGGAAATTTAGGGTCGGAAATCTATTATTTAAATCACAAAGGCAGCTGCTTCCAGACGTTGTACCCCGCCCCCCTGGTGCAAGGATGGCCGACTGGGGCTCCTAGGAGACAGGAGCCGGCTCTGGGCGTCCGCTTCCTTGGCACAGCCATGTCCCAGACCCGACAGCCCTGCCGGCCTCCGCAGGACAAGGCGAAGGGCAGGGGGAAGGCAGGCGACGAGGCCCCAGACCCTGCCCGGCACAGTCCCAGGGACCTCAACAACCTACCCTCCAAACCAGGCCTGCCCCTGCAGGGGGGCAACAAGCATGTGCCCCTCTCTCTAGCTACGCAGACCCTGGTTTTCCAGACGCTGCCAGCACCCAGGGGGAGAGGACATGGGTCCTCCAGCCAAAAATGAACTGCTCTTAGAAGACACTTTCTTAGGAGCAGGACAGCTAGTGACCGACATGAACCCAGAGACCGAAATGGGAACTATCGGCATGAGAACCAATCACAGAACAGTGTCTGCCCCTCGGGGCCCCAAGCATGACCAGCCCCGGAGACACACCCACAGCAGACTTGGTGTCGCTGTGCCGGTGCTCCCAGCCGGGCACTTGCGCTGGCCTTACCTTCACTTGCCAATGCTCACTGCGGCTCAGACGCCTGCGGGGTCTTAGTACGGCATGCTGCCCATGCCCAGCATGCACTGCGCTGAGTTAGTGTCCAGACCGATGCCTGCCACCAAGGAAGCAGCGCCCACCGCAGCCCGCCCCCGCCCGCAGCAGCGCTACACTAGCTCAGGGAGAAGCGCAGCCACCGACCGCATGCTGCAGGGGGCGGGATAGTTACTTGTCCAGGACCCCGGCTGTGACGGCCTCGGGCTGTCCGTGCGCAGTGGTGCTGGGTGGGAATAAAGAAGCATTACTGGGCGAGCAAACCAAACTCTGCCGGCCTGGAGGCAGGGTGGATGGTAAAGGATGAACAAAGGAGATGGAGGGCTGAAAAACAAACTCAATGGCAGGGACAAAGCAGGACAGCTGACCCGCCCACAGGCTCACTGAAGAGACGCCCGGGGCAGCCCTTCGATGACAGCCAGCCCAGCCTCCCGTGCTCAGCAGCTCCCAGCCAGACACTCTGTCCGCGGGGGGTGCGACTGACTGGCTTCGTGAGCAAGAGACCAAGGACAACAGGGCTTCCAGGGGCCAGTGGAGGTTTATCATAAAATGTAAGATTTAGCCTAAAATAACTCTGTATCCAGCTGAATAGCTCTTCACAATCTCCTGTTTCAACGTCTAAAATCCCTAACATTTCTCAGGTTGGGACTTGGGACTTGGTGCCATTCATTTCCCTTCCTGGTGCCTTTCTGATGACCCGGCGCCTCTCTGATGACGTGAGGTGGCCCTGTGTCTCATAGGATGGGGGTGGCGGAAGTTTTGGGGATCCCCCAGATGTGTGGGCAGTGACCTGTGATACAGCTGCTGCTGACATCCAGGCCCAGAGGCACACCAGAGGGGTCACCTTCCAACTACTGCTCAGTGGAGTCCTTTCACGCCAGAGACGTGTGAACACGAGGGCCTCTGCCATCTCCGTGGGGGAGCAGGCATGCCCGCACACCAGCCAGGGATCTCAGCCTTGTGGAAAGATGCAGCAGCAGCAGAAAGAGGAGGCGGCCGGGAGCAAGGCCGGGCACACTCACCGGGGAATGGCGGGCAGGCGGCAGCCATTCTCGTCGATGAAGTGGCCGCCGGCGTTGAGCACCCAGCAGTGGTGCAGGGACATGAGTGCGTGCCGGGCCGTGGTGGGGTTGTCCTTGCCGTTCTGACTGTCTGCATTCTTCAGCGGGGAGAACTCGTCCTCCCGCAGCACCTCGTACACCACGAACTTCCTGCAGGGGAGCGAAAGGAGAAGCTGCTACCCAGGAAAGCTGCTCCGCCGGCCCCGGGCCCAGCCTCACTCCCTGCAGGTCTCCACGCGCCCACACAATGGCTCCCAGAAATAACTGTCACAGGGACTAGAAACCTTGGTGCACAAAGACCCATTAGTGCCTGTGCCGGGGGAGGAAAGGATGACAGGAATGTACTTGGTGAGACGGCTCTTAGCTAATGTGTCTCCTGCGTAGTCTCACTGGTCGTTCGGAGACTGCCGGGCAAGCTGCGGGGTCTAAGGACACTGGCTGTGCCACCTGCTCCCAGGCAGGAGATGCCGGAACCCAGGCCAGCTCTCCAGCGGGCCTGGCAGCCACGGAGCCAGAGCCAGGGCAGGAGAGCCAGCCTGCCGACATGAGGAACAGCTTTCGGGCAACTCGACACACTTGTGGACGGGGTTCTGACGCCGTCACACGCCTAGCACTGGCGCCAGTGCGCAGAGGCAGCGTCCTGCCTGGAGGGGAAGGCAGGTTCGAGACACTCGGCACCTCCTGCTGGCTGTGTCAAACCTACTTTGCAAACTGGAAGATGTCAAAGACGAACTTTTCCATCTTTATCCCGTTTGGCTTGTCGGGCTTGATGAGCTGCCCCTGGGAGTCCACGTACGGAATCTTCTTCTGAGCCACGTGGTGCTGCAGCTGCGGCTCGTGAACACTGGGCAGGAGGGACGGTCACTGTGAGGGGAGACGCTCGAGGCCCATCGCCAAAGCGCACCTCACACCCCCGTCACACCAGCGCCTCCCCAGGCCCCACCGTTCACAAGCGTTCTCCTCCATGCCCAGCTCTCCCCTGGGGCCGCCAAGTGGGGACGTGGAGCACCAACAGTCAGTGAGGCAGGAGCGAGGCCACAACAGCCGAAGCCTGGGAGTCGCTGGGCACTGAGTGGATGTGAGGGCCAGGCTGACAGTGCAGCCACCTGTGCCCTTCGCTCTACAACCCGCGGGCAGACAGGCAGGCGGGCAGACGCTCGCCCGGCCCGGCTGCCCTCCCTCTCTAAGGCACCAGCTCCCGTGACTGGCACCCCCGCTGCACGTCCCGGATACTGGCTTAGCAGCTGCGGGACAAATGCGTCTCCAAAGGGCCCGGCTGTGGGAGAGACGTGTCTGTCCTGCGCTTCACCAGGCCTAGCACGCTGGCAGGAGGGAAGAGAAGAAAAGGGGCGACTGTGCCCTTAGCTTTCGCCCCGGGAGGGGGTCCTATGGCCAGCTCACTGACTGCCAGAGCCAGGGACGTTTCCTGGGCAGTGAGTGGACGAGTTCTACAGGAAGTGGAAGTGGACCAGTTCTACAGGACTGGACTTGGGGTTATCTCCCGACTTCTCACACAACCAACATCCCAACGCCCACGCTGCGTACTTGACAATGTCCCTCAGGAAGGGCACGGTGAAGAAATGGTTGGCGATGTTCCCCGCGTTGAACAGCAGCCGTCCGTCCGGGCTCCGCTGCTGCGCCGTGGCCAGGGAGATCTCGCTGTACTCCACCACCTGGTACACCCCGTCCACGCGGCACACCACGCCCACCGGCTCTGTCGGGTTCGTCTTCTCCACCACCTGCCAGGCAGACAGCACCCGCTGCGAGCCCATCGCCATTTCCATAGCCCCGTGCACTGGCACTCACCAGGCAGGGGGGTGGTTGGCTGCAGACCTGACCGACCCGGCCATCTCTAGCAGACTCCCTTCCAGCTGCCCGGAGACTCATCCTAGCTGCCCGGGCCCAGCAGCTCGGGGCGCGGCCTCTGGCTGCGGGAACCGAGCCCTCGCTCCTGCCTCCAGCGCGGCAGTCGGCGCTGGCCGTGCTGACTTAAGGAAGTCAGTGGCTGGAGAAAAGTTGAAACTTGACTGATCTGACTGATCTATACTGAGCAGACTTTTCACGCCGGGGACACACTTTCAAAGTGCTAGGAAGCAGGCTGGGACGCTGGTGAACAGCGGAGAACATAGTCCAGCGGAGCACATAGTCCCTTCAGCTGCTCTTTACTGTGACCTTCGGGGCCCTTCGTGTCGTCAGCTCCGGACCTCCAAGCAGGTCGCTCAATGTCTCCTGAACAAGTGCGACGTTTAGATGAGTGGTGGGGGTGGGGTGGCGGGGTCAGAAGTACCGGGGAGGTGTTTTTAATGAAATACTCCCACATCTCCCTCTGATTTCCGCCCCCCCCCACTTTCCTCTCAGCTCTCAGCCTGAGCCATTGACAGAGGTCCATAGCTGGTTTGCAAACTTGTTTAAAGCACAGAACCTCTTCTGACAAAACCTAGCATGGGACACAGATCAGTGTGTGTGTGTGGGGGGGGGGGGGGGGGGGCTTCGACCTGCCCGCTGCCCCTGCTTACCAGCAACATCCCTCAAAACAAGGAGTATGCTGCTTCCGTGCATGAAAGCGGGGAGGGGGTGGGGGGGGGGGTAAAAGCCTTTTTCAAATGAAATGGTGATTTGGGCAATATAAAAGCCTTACTTTTTGTCTTGTGAATCTCAGAGAAATTTCATTCCATTTATCCTCAAAGTAGCTGTGTGTGGGTAAGGATACATTAAATATTAAGCAAAGGCATTTGGGGGACGTAGGCTTCTCATTCAGTTATCCCCAGTCCCGGAGATTCCTGAAATGTGTCCCGGTGTGAAAAGTCTGCTCAGTACAGATGAAGTCAGATCAGTCAAGTTACAACTTTTCTCCAGCCACTGACTTCCTTAAGTCAGCACGGCCAGCGCTGACTGCCGCGCTGGAGGCAGGAGCGAGGGCTCGGTTCCCGCAGCCAGAGGCCAGAGCGGGCTGCCCGCTGCATACTTGCACTATTTGCCCTAAAAGAGCACAGGATTCGGTGAAAAGGAACCTTCTACCCAGGAAGGGGTGGAGCTGGAGGGACAGCACGCCAGGCACGGCCTCTCGGAGGCGCTCCCCTCCATCAGCCCTGCCTCCCAAGCCCTGCCCACAGCGGGCATCTCCTTACCCGGGAGTGAGAGAAACAAACTTGCACAAGGTTTGTCTCCCAATCCCGTCCCCCTCCCACCGCACGGCAACAGGAAGCTGCACACTGCACACTGCCAGGTAGGTGTCCACCTCAGGGGGAAGGTTTACTTTCAGGGCAAGACCACCTCCAAGGACTGGAAGTCTAGATGACAAAGAACCATCTTACACTGCACTGGGGGGGACAGGGGGGCACAGCTGGCATTATTCAGAAAGGACAGTGCAGAATTCAGAACGGTCACAAGTCAAACCCTGAAAGCCCAGCTACAGCCATCAACCTCCAGTCCGGGTGCCGCTTTAGAAAACATGTGGGGTCAAGCCTGACAGGAAAACGGCCACAGGAGCGCCCGGCGGGCTCTGGCTCACTGAGAAGTGAGAAGAGGGGCCTTGGGGACAGGTTCGGGAGCTGGCCCAGGACAAGTTGTTGCTGCCCGTTGCTCCCCTGGTTGCAAGTCTCGTAGGGTCCCTTAAAGGGTAGGAGATGTGCCTGGGGCACGGGGGATGGGAGTGCAGGCTTGTGCTGGAAAATGATCTTTAACTCACAACGGTCCTGCCCTTTCAGCTTTGTGCAAACCACACCACCCTCTAGTGCCATAACTGGCAAACTGGTCGGCAAACTGCAGCTTGTGAACCCTTGAGTGTGGCTCTTCCACAAAATTACCACGGCCTGGGTGAGTCTATTTTGAAGAAGTGGCATTAGAAGAAGTTTAAAAAATTTGGCTCTCGCCCTGATTGGTTTGGCTCAGCCTGTGGACTCAAGGGTTCCAGGTTGGATTCCGGTCAAGGGCATGTACAGTGGTTGTGGGCACATTCCCAGTAGGGGGTGTGCAAGAGGCAGCTAATTAATGTTTCTCTCTCATGTTTCTAACTATCCCTCTCCCTTCCTCTCTGTAAAAAATCAATAAAAAATGTATTTTTTAAAAAAATTTAGCCGAGACCGGTTTGGCTCAGTGGATAGAGCGTCGGCTTGGGGACTGACGGGTCCCGGGTTCGATTCCGGTCAAGGGCATGTACCTTGGTTGCGGGCACATCCCCAGTAGGGGGTGTGCAAGAGGCAGCTGGTCGATGACTCTCTCATCGACGTTTCTAACTCTCTATCTCTCTCCCTTCCTCTCTGTACAAAATCAATAAAATATATTAAAAAAAAAAAATTTGGCTCTTTAAAGAAATTTCAATCGTTGTACTGTTAATATTTGGCTCTGTTGACTAATGAGTTTGCCAACCACTGCTATAGTCTGTTATTAAGGCTCTCATTCCTTAAAAAGCTTAACTCACAAGACAGGCGCCTGGTTAGAAAGTATTGCAAAGAATGCTGCTGCTGCACTGTAACTCTCCCTAACTCAGGCGGCTTTTACAACTATGTCTTGATTTTACCACAGTGAAAAGGGTGGAGGACAGATTAGTAAGTGGTTTCTGATGCCTCTAGGAACTGGATACACAGCAGCCCAGACCCGTTTGGTTCCAGACACAGACCTGGGAGCGTGGAGAAGAGTGACTGTGAGGCCAGCACTCATGAAAGTCGGGGCACCAATCATAGCTCCTAGCTACCAGCACACGGAACTACTGTAAGAGGTTTGCTTTTATAATGTGACATGAGCCTGGCTGGCGGGGCCCAGTGGTTGAGAATTAATCTATGAACCAGGAGGTCATGATTTGATTCCCAGTCAGGGCACATGCCGGGTTGTGGGCTCAATACCCAGTGGGGAAAGTGCAAGAGGCACCCGACCCATGATTCTCTCTCCTCATGGATGTTTCTCTCACTCTCTCCTTCTCCCTTCCTCTCTGAAATCAATAAAAAAAAAATATGTATATTAAAAATTCCATATAATAAAGAAGTAATATGCAGGAGGGTGAGGCAGCAAGCTACAAGTGGGTGGCGGAGAGCCACAGGAGGGGGCAGGGCAGCAACTATGGGAGGAGGGACAGGGGGTTGGAGGAAGCCACAGGAGGGCGGGGCAGCGGGCAGAGAGCTACTGGAGAACAGCAGTGAGCTACTGGCGCTCGGATTTGTGTGCAGGGCTACTAGTACATATATAATGTGACATGATACTAAAACAAGAAGTGGTGATGTAGCCCTCAAGCCTGGAACTGACTGAGGCCTAGAGCTCGGGTGCTCATTTCTGAGGTCAAACACCCCTTCCAGGTTCACACTGTAGATAGATTTTGAGAGAAAAGACATCTTTATAATAGAAAATCTCCAACCAAGGATCTGGCATGTCTGTGGCAAGCCTTCTTTTTAAACTTATGCCATCTAATTTGTTTTTGTCAGAAAGACCTTCCCTTCATGTCAATATTATAAAATTATTAGAGGCCCAGTGCACAAAATTCGTGCATGGGAGGGAGGGGTCTCTGCCCAGCCTGCACCCTCTCCAATCTGGGACCCCCAGTTTAGGACATCCCCTGTGGGATCATGCCTACACCAGCAGTCAGATATCCCTCTCATTCCAGGACCTCTGGTTCCTAACCACTTGCCTGCCTGCCTGATCGCCCTTAACCCCTCTGCCTGCCCACCTAATTGTCCTTAACTGCCTCTGCCTGCCAGTCTGATCACCCCTAATTTGCCCCCCTGCCAGCCTGATTGCCCCTTCCTTTTCCCCTGCCAGCCTGATCACACCTGCCTTGCCTCCCTGCTGGCCTGATTGACCTTAACTTGCCCTGCTGGCCTGATTGACCCTAACCTGATTCAGCCTTTGGCCTAAGCTGCAGTCTGGCCTCCCTCTATGGAAGGCAACCTGGCAGATCAGGGGAAGGCACCACCATTACCCCACTGCTCTGCCACTGCTGGCCTGAGCATGGGCCCTTCGCAGCCGTGCCTCGGCCCTTTTGCAGCCACCCATGGCTGCCTGAGCCTCGGCTTTGTCCAGAAGATGTCCGCCCTAATTAGCATGTTACCCTTTTATCAGTATAGATTCTAATCAACAAATCAACAAACAGCAAGTGCTGGAGAGGATGTGACGAAAAAGGAACCCTCTTACTCCTATATTCATAGCAGCACAATTTACAATAGCTAAGATTTGAATACAGCCTAAGTGCCCATCAGCAGGTGAGTGGATTAGAAAACTGTGGTACATCTACACAATGGAATACTACACTGCTATAAAAAAGAAGGAATTCTTATCATTTGCAACAGCATGGATGGACCTAGACAGCATTATATTAAGCGAAATAAGCCAGTTGGAGAAAGATAAATATCACACAATCTCACTCATATGTGGAATCTAATGAATAACATAAAGTGATGAACAAAAATAGAGCCAGAGACAGAGAAGCATCAAATAGGCCATCAATCTTCAGAGAGAAGGCAGGTGAGGGTGGGAGTGGGGGGAGGGGGGGGTAAGAGATCAACCAAAGGACTTGCCTGCATGCATATGAGCATAACCAATGACATACATGGGGGGGAGAGGCAGGAGGAAGGGCCGTGCTGGGGGTGGGGGAGGCTGGAAGAGGCCAATGGAAGAAAAGGAGACTTATGTAATGCTTTAAATAATAAAGAATTTAAATAAATAAATAAACAAAATTATTCTACCCTTTTTTTCTAACATATTTATGGAGTTGTATTTTTTGTTTTGTTTTGTTTTGTTTTAAATATGTTTTGATTTTTCATAGAGAGGAAGAGAGAGGGATAGAGTTAGAAACATCAGTGAGAATCATGGATCAGCTGTCTTTTGTACACCCCTTACTGGGAATGTGCCCGCAACCAAGGTACACGCCCTTGACCAGAATCGAACCTGGGACCTTTCAGTCCCCAGGCCAACGCTCTATCCACCGAGTCAAACCGGTTTTGGCTATGGAGTTTTTAATACGTGACTTTGTAATACATTTGAAATCGCCTGTGCTATGAACTGAGGGAGAGACCTTCTTTTATTATCAGCCAGGAACCTCATCACCCCCACCGAGATGGGAGTCGCACACGACTCCTCCTCTGTGCACCGGGGGCGCCTGGCCGTCAATCTGCCGGCTTCTTCACCTTGTATGCCACCTGAGTGTCTGACAGTCTGTCTCCAAATCCCTCCCCTCCTCCTCTCCAACCTTCTTCAATATTTCCCAGCTGCCTTTCCATGTTTATTCTAAGCTTCATCACTGTTTTGGGCCCAGAATGGAGTCACTGGAACTTTGATCAGGATGGTGTAATACTTTAATTTGTGAGAGCTGATACCTTTACAGATTCCCAGGAAAAGTAATATTTATATCCATATTTTTTAATTTACTTTTTTACTTGCTCTCCATTGTATATCCATATTTTTAAGCCTCCCAACATGTCCATTCGATTCCAAGATCCACTGCAGGGCCTGTTTGCCTCCCTGAAGGCATGGCTCCCACGGCACCGCCCCCAACTGAAGGCTGTGACCCTCCCTCCCACTCAGTCCCTGCATGTGTGTGGCCAGCGGAGCCATCACTAATCCCACTGTCCACACCCTTCTCTGCACACCACGTCTTATTCTAGAGACTACTAGGAGTGCCTCACCCACATCCAACATCGCTGTCTGTGCCTCTGCCCCACGGCCCGCAGCGGCTCAGACGCCCGTGGATGCTCGGGCCAGGGGAGGCCCATTCTCCCAAGTACTGACTGCAAACACTCACTTCTTCTATTTTTTTTTTTTTAATGTATTTTATTGATTTTTTACAGAGAGGAAGAGAGAGAGATAGAGAGCTAGAAACGTTGATGAGAGAGAAACATCGACCAGCTGCCTCTTGCACACCCCCTACCGGGGATATGCCCGCCACCAAGGTACATGCCATTGATTGGAATCGAACCCGGGACCCTTCAGTCCGACAGACGCTCTACCACTGAGCCAAACCGGTTTTGGCCAAACACTCACTTCTGATGGACCTGGCTTCTGGACCACATGCTGCCACGTTAAGAAAAGAAGTGCCCTGGAGAGAGGAACGGTTCTACAACATTCCAGTCACCCAGTAACTCTGGTCGGACTCCTGCGTGCGGCGCTGGCAGGGCCTCACTGCGGAGAAGGGCCTTACCTTGGCGCCACAGTCCGCTCCCTGCTGAATGCAGAATCCAATGAACCGAGGGTCGGCCACTCTCACCAGGATGTTGTCAACGCAGTAGACGTGAACACAGCCGACGCCCCTGCGCTCCATGTCGCCCACGATGTCCCAGGCAGCCAGAGCCCGGTAGAGGCCCCCGTTCCCGTCTGGGAAAGGAGAGCGCCCTTAGAGCACGGTAGACCATCTGAAGGTTAGTGGCCGCTTAGTGGGCCCAGGCAGTCAGGAGTGGTCACAGTGCACGAACAAGGCAGCCCAAAGGCCACGCTTTCCATAGCTGCCCGTAACAATCTAGCCGGAACACACGGGGAAATACAAAACCATCCACCACACATGATGACCCACAGCTTCCGCGTGTTACTACTGTCTGTACGATTGGCGCTGACTCTGCATGTGCAGCCTGACAACGACATCCATGTTGGAGAGAAAATCACATGAAACTTCATGTCAAGTCACTGGTTTAAAGCCAGACTCACATGAAGGTCAGTGGTGACCTAAGCTCAGTGCTAGGAAAGCCCCGCCCTCTGCCCCCTGCTGCCCCGTGTCCTGTCAGCACCCTCCGCCACAACGGACTTCATGATGCGGAATTACAGCACCGGGGGCTCAGAACAGCGTCCTTCCCTGACTGCAAAGAATTAAGAAGAAAAAAAGAAGCCAAAAGCACCCTGTGGACACTGCTGTCTCCTTCCAGCCTCCCCTCCCCCGCAGACCAGACAGGAACCTGCAGCCTGGCCTCCAGCTACCAGAGTCACACAGGCCCTGGCTCTGGAGGCCGCTGCAAGCGCCCTGTGCACACAGCCTGGGCCTGTGCAAGGCGGAGGCTCCCAGGGCACTGTGTGTGCAGTTATGTTTCTCGTTCTCTGGCTTCACCTACCGAGGCCGTTCCTCCCGGCCATTTAATGTCTCCTAACACTCATTTCAATGCTCTTTAAGAAGCAACAGTAGCCAGGACTTGTTTGGCTCAGGGGATAGAGCGTCGGCCTGGGGACTGAAAGGTCCCAGGTTCGATTCCGGTCAAGGGCATGTACCTTGGTTGCGGGCGCATCCCCAGTAGAGGGTGTGCAAGAGGCAGCTGATCGATGATTCTCTCTCATCGATGTTTCTAACTCTCTATCCTTCTCTCTTCCTCTCTGTGAAAAATCAATAAAATATATTTAAAAAAAAAAAAAAAAAAGCAACAGTACAGACAAAGCCTCTGACTTCTAACTGGGGGGCTCACAATTTTTCTAACTCAGCCTCTGACTTCTTAAACTGGGGGGCTCACAATTTTTCTCTGGGATAAGCCCAGGTGGAGGGCGCTGCTACAGAGGGACCTGCGCTCTGAGTGCATGCAGGCTCTCTACAGGACAGACCTCCCAAAAAGGAACATATTTAAAAGGAAGCTAAAACTCAATCACTTATGCCACTACCATTCCTCGTCACCACTCACAAGAAGGGCACAGACCTGGAGCCATGGACACCTTGCTCTTCTCCTCCAAAAGAATCTTGCCGTCAAAGCTCATGGCTGGCAGCATGCCCTGCTGGAAGAAGACGACGTTCTCCTTCTGCAGCCCGAAGTACCTGTGCTTGGCGAAGAACTCCTCTGTGGACCGCATCGTCCTGCCGCTGGTCATTATGTACCTGCAGAGGGAGTGTCTTCTGAGACCGCGCCATCGGCTTAGGGCCCAAAAACCTTGCCCAGGCCCTGGGCTGACTGAAATCTTGAGAACACGTGGCCTTCCGCAGGGAAGCCTCGGCCACCACCTCCCCACCCTCGGGTAGGGCATGCCTCTCCACACCGCCAGCAACAGAGCCTGCAGCCAGCTCAAGGAAAGAGCTGGGAACTGTGAAAATGCCTTTTAAATTAAAAACCTGTGGACAGCAGAAACCGGTTTGGCTTAGTGGATAGAGCGCCAGTCTGCAGACTGAAGGGTCCCAGGTTCGATTCTGATCAAGGGCACGGGTTGCGGGGGGTGTGCAGGAGGCAGCTGATCGATGTTTCTCTCTCATTGATGTTTCTAACACTCTATCCCTCTCCCTTCCTCTCTGTAAAAAAATCAATAAAATATATTTTAAAAAAATAAATAAGAACAAACCTGTGGACAAAGGGGGACACATGCTAATCTGACAAGTTCAGGGAAGAAGCTGCCGCCCCCCGCCTCCCCTCCTTCCCCCGCCGTTTTGCTTTCTCCCGCCTCCCTAGTCTATCACCAAAGGATTTCATTGATTTTAGTGTATAAAAATAGATAAAAAGCCACCATTTTCTGGAGCACTATCCCAATCTGTGAGGTTCTGCTTCCCAGCAATTGACAGTTTGGCTCAAATAAACTCACAAAAACTCTTTACAGGTTTTAATGTTTTTACGTTAACAAACTCATATTTTAACTGAGTAGAAAGGGGTAACTATGATACATTCCAGTGACCTGTAGTGGCTTCCTGCTAAAGTTCTGATACCTGTGGGCTCAGTAGCCTTCATGTGATATCAGGGAAGTACAGGAACCCCCAGCCCAGGTGGCAGAGGAGGAAAATCTGAAACCAGCACCTAGAGGACACACTCAACTAAGTGACAACTGCTGAGTAAGGATCTGTCTCTTTAACATTGTGAACTCGGGTGCAAGAGCTTGAGTGTGATCTAGAAGGTGACAAAGAGAAACACAACTTCAGCTGTGCAGAGCGGAGGAAGCCAACATGACCGCAGGGCCTGGGCTTAGCACACAATGTCCCTCCAAAGTCCCCACAGGGACCCACAGGGAAGCGGCAGCTGTGTGGGGAGACCTGGGGGGTCTGGGAGGATCACGGAGCCGGTGGGAAGCAACTCTGGCCAGACTCAACCGCAGGACTGGAGGGTCTTCCAGGGGCCTCCTCCGGGGCAGCCGGCCAGGCAGAAGGGCAGAAGCCAGCAGAGCCTTTGCTGGCCACGTGGGGCTGTTACAGGGTTAGGGGCTGAGGAAACACACCCACCGCAGATCACCCCACAAGACACGCTAATCCCAAAGCTGAGGAGAAAGATGGAGGAGCTACATCAGCACCTCCTAACGAGCCGAGCAGACACTCCACATGGTGGTGCTCAAGCAGCCCAGCCCCCAGAGGGCCCACAGCAGAGCAGTCAGTGGAGCTTTCAGTGCGGGGGCGGGGGGGGGGGGGGGGGAGGTGTGTGTGGGGGGGGGGGGGGTGTGTTCAGAAAGGCCAGATAACCTAGTACTTGAGAACACGAGTTCCTAGGCTAAGAGAACTCACTGGAAATAGAGCCACACCATGTCAAGAAACTTCAGATACTGAAGACAAGGTGAGACCCTAAGTGCTCTCAGAGAGGAAATCTCCGAATTCCCAAGATTCAAATGTTCAGTTGTTCTACACCCGAACCACCAATGAGGAGGAAATTCCCAGAGAGAACCCCTGCACCCAAGGGCCTCCGGTGAGGATGCAGAAGCTGGGGGAGCACACTGCTCCTTCAAGCTGCAGTGCGCACCTTCCTGGCTTCACTGCGTGTTCCCTTTACACATGTGGTGATGACAACCCCTGGTAAAACCAGCAGAAACACAGTGTCTTCTTAGGAATACAGCTCTCACGCATTCTGAGTACCTTAAACCAGCACACGTTGGGGCCCACAATGAGCCTCTTACCAGGGGATGGTGCATCTGTTGCCATGGCACTTCTCAGCTAGCTGCTGAAGCTTCAGGATTCGCTCTGCTTGAAGCTGGAAAAGGGTCTTATGGGATGGCAAGCCAACATCATACATCCCCTTGGGGTATGTGACCCCGAGCCGTGTCCCCTGCCCACCAGCTAGGAGAAGAACCGCCACTCTGTTCTGAGAAATGTGGAGGAGTCCTAGGAGAGAAAACGCTGGTGTCAGGAAACCTCTAAACATTAGCACTTTAGGGCCAACCCCTGAGGTCACTCTCTGCATAACCAACGAGGACTCCACACTAATCATGGCGACTCTCGTGTAATAAAAACATTATCGGGCTATATAAATTAACTTTTTTATAAAGTTAATTTATATAGCCCGAACCGGTTTGGCTCAGTGGATAGAGCATTGGCCTATGAACTGAAGGGTCCCAGGTTCGATTCCAGTCACAGGCATGTGCCTTGGTTGCGGGCACATCCCCAGTAGATGTGCAGGAGGCAGTTGATCGATGTTTCTCTCTCATCGATGTTTCTAACTCTCTATTCCTCTCCCTTCCTCTCTAAAAAAGCAATAAAATATATTTAAAAAATTAATTTATACGGACACCCAACCAAAGACCAAACACGAAGTAATACACTTTAATGAATCAATGGTCTGATCACTGGAAGGTGACAACCAGAGATGTTACGATGTTTTTCAAGTACTGACTGTTCAGCACGGGGAGAAGAGGATAGGGTGGGAGAGGTCTAGGCTCCAGGGTCAATGGTGACGTTCTTCAATGACTTCCAACGTATAAATAAATAAATCAATAAATCAGCATCAAGTAATTAGTTCACTAATGAGCATGCTAATGTCCTAGGCTAATGTCCATGGCTAATGTACCATGCCATGCATGTACAGGAAAGCAGCCTGTCAGGAAAGCGTGTGCAGTGCAGCGGTTAGAAGCCAGGCTCTCAAGTCAGGGCCCGGGCCTGAAACCCGCCGGCTGGATGAGCTCAGGGCGTGCCGCGGCGAAAGACTGGAGGCTGGGTGACAGGCGTGCTCTATCTTTGGGCAGAGGTGGAGGTTACGTGGGGGTATTAATTTGTTAAAACTCCTGAGACTATTATGTTAGTGTATAACTGATACTTCAGTAAAATGGATTAAACTGTCTTTTTAATGGGCCATCCACAGCAGCAGAATGTGAAACTGAGTCTTTTTGCTGCTGATTTATTTCTGCTGTTGGAAGCTTGTCCATTTTTACTAGTTGAATATTCAGCAACCCCATATAATAAAAGCCTAATATGCTAAGTGTCTGGTCATCCATCCAACTAATCAAAGTGTAATATGCTAATGATATTCTAAGGCCGCTCAACCACTTGCTATGATGTGCACTGACCACCAGGGGGCAGACACTCTGACCAATAGGTTAGCTTTCTACTGGTATCCAGCAGATAGGGTCTGAGCAAGAAGGACCCCTGGAGCCCTCCCATGGACCCTCCCTGGCCCTGATCACCCTGATCATGCACTGGTGGGGTCCCTCAACCTGGCCTGCACCCTCTCACAATCTGGGGCCCCTCATGGGATGTCAGAGAACCCATTTCAGCCAGATCCTGCAGGTCAAGCTGAGGGACCACACTGATAAACGAATTTAGACACTGGGCCTCTAGTAATAACCAACCATAATACTTGAATAAAAACTATTATTTAAATAAAGATAAATTCAAGATTGATTTAAAATCCAAATGCAAACAAACAAAACAAAACTGTTACTGAACCACAGAGGCTCTCATCCTGGATTTTTAAATCATCCAAACCCCTCTGCCTATCGTGTCTCAGAGCCACCCCATCATCACAGTAAGGTGACACCTCAGCACCAGGCAGTGACTGGGGAGAAGAGGCAGAGTGGGTGCTGGGAAGAGCTGGGAAGTGTCAGATGAGAGAAAACTGTGAAGGGTGGCTTTCCTTCTTCCCTGAAGTTCATACTTTCATTAAAGTTCTCAGAAACTGTCCTGGTTGTTGTTGCTCAGTGGTTATTGTCAGCGGTTAAGAGCATGTACCTCAGCTGCAAGTTTAACGTGTGGAAGGCAACCAATCCATGGGTCTCTTTCACATTGATGTGGTTTTCTTTTCCCTCTCTCTCTCTCTTTCTCTCTCTGTCTCTCTCCCCCTTTCGTCTCCCCTCTACTCTTTCAAAAAAAAAAAAAAAATCAATGAAAAAATATCCTATCTTCAGGTAAGGATTAAAAAAACCCACACATTTCTCAGAAACTCTATTGTTTATTTTCATATGAGAGGCCCGGTGCATGAAAATTTGTGCATTTGGGGGTGTCCCTCAGCCCAGTCTGCACCCTCTCACAGTCTGGGATCCTCGGGGGATGTCCACCTGCCAGTTTAGGGGGGGATCAGGCCTAAGCTGGCAGTCAGACATCACTCTGGCAGCCTGGGAGCCCCGAGGGAAGTCTGACCTACAGGTGAGGGCCGCTCCCTGCCGTTAGCAGGACATCCTTCGTGCTGCTGCAGAGGCAGGAGAGGCTCCCATCACCGCTGCACTGGCCAGCCACGAGCCGGCTTCTGGCTGAGTGACACTTCCCATGGGAGCACACTGACCATCAAAAGGCAGCTCCTCTGTTGAGCATCTGCCCCCTGGTGGTCAATGCATGTCATAGCGACCTGGTTGTTCCACTGTTAGAGTCAATCTGCATATTACCCTTTTATTATATAGGATCCTTAGGTAATCTGGGTCCACCTAACTTACCAACTTTGTGTTTTATGCATTTTTAAAAATATATTTTTATTGATTTGAGGGAGAGGGAAAGAGATAGAAACATCAGTGATGAGAGAGAATCATTCATTGGGTAATTCCTACACGCTCCCCACTTCGGATCAAACCCACAACCCAGGCATATGCTGGATTGGGAATCAAACCATGATCTCCTGGTTCGTAGGGTCACGCTCAACCACCAAACCACACCGGCTGGGTTTTTATATGTATTTTTTATATACTAGTAGGTTGAGAACTTAAAGTTGGCAGCATTTACAGGAAATGGGAGGGTTCACAATGACGTGCCACAGCTCTACCACTTCCTGGGTAACATCCGGCTTGGATGAGCTCCTCTCATACACCTTGATGTGGGCACCTGCCTGACCTGGAGGACGCCAGGTGCAAAGGTGGGGACTGACACTCCAGTGGCACAGGGTGGGGAAGGCAGGCAACTCCGCCAGAAGAAAATGCAGGTGCGTCAGAACAGATACATTATGTCTTTTTTTTTTTTCTTTTATTGATTTTTTACAGAGAGGAAGAGAGGATAGAGAGTTAGAAACATCGATGAAAGAGAATCATCGATCAGCTGCCTCTTGCACACCCCTCACTGGGCACATGCCCTTGACCAGAATCGAACCCGGGACCTTTCAGTCCACAGGCCCATGCTCTATTCACTGAGCCAGTTTCAGCTACATCTTTATTCTTAATCACAGCTGAAATAGGATTTTACAGGTTAACCATTTCCCCTAAAATGTTAAGCCCATTTTTGAGTCCATTAAACAGACTAATGGAGGAAATCTCTATTTGAACTACTTTTAGTTTCTGAGTGTTACTATGAATTTCATTAGGTTTAAGAGGGACATTGTGGCCAAAACCGGTTTGGCTCAGTGGTAGAGAGTCGGCCTGCGGACTGAAAGGTCCCAGGTTCGATTCTGGTCAAGGGCATGTACGTTGATTGCAGGTACATCCCCGGTGGGGGGTGTGCAGGAGGCAGCTAGTCGATGTTTCTCTCTCATCGACATTTCTAGCTCTCTATCTCTCACCCTTCCTCTCTGTAAAAAAATCAATAAAATATATTTAAAAAAAACAAAAACAAAAAAACAAAGAGGGACATTGTGAGCAGTGATGCTGCTGAACTCTGAGGGTAAAATACCATGATGTTGGAGGTATGTCTTAAAATACTACAGCACCAAAAAAGAAAAAGAGGGATAAAGCAAAAGTCAAAAATGTTTGGTAATTATTTAGTCAAGGTGATGTGAGTGTGGAAATTCAGGATACTGTTTTTCTCTCTAAATATCGGTTTCAAAATATGCTTTAAATTTTTCTTAACAAAGTCTTAGAGCAGGCTACAAAATTATAAACAAATCCATAATTTTGTGTGTGTGTGTGTGTGTGTGTGTGTGTGTGTGTGTAAAAGTACTGTAAAATATTACCACTGAATATTTATCTCTGGGCTATAGGATGGTAGAAATTTTTCTGTAACTTTTAACTATTTTCCAACTTCTCTAAAATAGATATGTGCTACTTTTAAAGTAAACAAGTATGTGTTAAAATGTCACTGAAGCCCTGGCCAGTGTTGCTCAGTTGGATGAAACATTGTCCCTTACACCTAAAGGTTGAAGATTCACGCCCCCGCAAAGCCCCCCCACCCCAGTCTGGAAACATACAGAAGCCAAATGATTGGTGTTCTCTCTCACATCGATGTTTCTCTCTCTCTCCTTTCCCCTCTTCCTAAAAGTCAGCACTTTAGAACTAACCCCTGAAGGTCACCCTCTGCACTAAATCACAAAAATTGTTGAGGGGCCACCTTCTGACCACACGTTTCCAGACAACACGCCCACTTACTACCACAACACGCATGGCAGAGAGCCACCCTTAAGATGAATTTCTCAAATGTCTCACAGGCAAAAAAGCTGATACCAAATGCTAACTTGTGCGCGCATTGGTGGTTCAGTGGTAGAATTCTCGCTTGCCAAATGCTAACTTGCCATTGTAATATAACACTGGAAGCTTCTTTTGTGCTCAGGATAAGCAGGGGTTTATTTAAAAATGAAGGGGCGGTTTACTAAGCAAATATGCTTTCCCAGCGATTCTGGTTGAAGCCCCGCCCCTCAGTCCAGGCTCCCGCTGTGAGACAGATGTGTTGGCTGCTCCTCTCCTCCACACCTGCCTAACTTACAGCACCACCTCTGGCCCCAGCAGCATGGGCGCCATGCACACACAGAGCCTGCAGGTGCAATTCTCCCTAGGGCTGCACGCCTGCACCATGGCACTGCACACTGCCTCTACCTGCCCATTCCTGGGGAACAATGATCTTCCAGACACTACCAGGACCCCTATTCTCCAAAACATGGCATCACACTCTTCACAATGGCGGTCTCTTCCCGTGACAACTGTCTGCAGAGCCTCACCCTGCATGACTGCATACGTGGAAATTTCTGACTGAGGGCAAAGGATGTAAGGTCAGTTAGCGTCTCCTTCTCCACCCTCCTGTTGAAACCACAAGTAAACATTGTTCCCTGACATTAAGCCAAAAGGAAGTTTGCTTTGTGCCTTCCTATACTAGGCTAGGTTGTCTTCTTTAAAGGAAACACCATCTGTGTAGACTAGTTTTACAAATTCCAAGAAGGTTGTCAAAAAAGACTCAAATTACAAGCCTTGGCAGATGCTTATGGTCCCATTTTACAAGGTCACAGCCTGCATTTCCCTAAGAGTTCATCCGAACGTTTCACCCCATAAAACTACCAAGAGAAGCATGGCCCTGGGATACTCGCGGGCACAGAGGCTTCCGGCTGGGGCAGCCAGCCTGGAGAACGCAGGGAAGCAGGAAGCCTGGCAGGCCCAGGCCAGCAGGGACCCGGCACCACTCTGGTTCCAGGATCTCTGTGCAGAGGGCCGTACGGACGCCACTCCCTCGGCACAAAGCGAGGTTAGTCTCAGCCAAGCATTCCTTGCAGCTTGCCTGACTATTGTCAATGTTTTTTCATCTCTAACTCCTTTTAAATAAAACTCATGAAAGATCAGACACAAGGGACAGAACTGCTCTGGTAGTGGGAGGTGAAGAGGCTGGAGATGCAGCTGGTTAGACTCTGCTTCCCACTCTACACGAGACAAGAAACAGTTTCCTGGGTGTGCAACCCCTGGGGCCCTTTGGAACACAGTTTGAAAATCAGGTAATCTGTAAGCCCAGAGAAAGAGAGAGAGCTACACAGAAGGCACACTGCTTTTGTGTGTGTGAGAAACAGGGAGTGCCAAAGAATGGAAAAGAAAAGCAGGCACAGTGTGGTACAGTGTGGACTGTAAGGTCATATCTATAATATTATTGCACATCAAGAAAAGTAAACATGGATATCATCAAGCACAGGATGGTGATGGGAGGGAGTAAAAACAGGTCTGCTGAGGTCACAGGCCCTCTCTCTATAGTATCCCTGTTATTTTGAGGCGACTTTTGCAGTAATGTTAGAAAGGAAGGAACAGCCAGGCCAGTCTGTTCAGTGAGAAAACGAGGCCCAGATCTGACATGTAACACTCAGGCCTGGGCCGCAAGGCTCAGCCATCCTTTCTTTCTGAGGAGGTCATGAAAACCACAGCTCTTAACTCCACCAAAAGGCAACATCTGAGCTACTCTGTCCTTCTCGAAAGCATTAGCTAGTACTAGTTATAGGGATGTTTCATGATCTGCTTTAGAAGAAAAAGCACTGGGCATTTCAACAAACATTCCCAGCCAACCCATCGCTCAAAGCCCTGTCCTAAGTGCTGTGTCCTGTGAGCAGGGCAGGACCCGCTGCTCTGCAGGAGCCCAAGTGCAGTGAGGTGACGAGAACAACTCTCACCACAGGCGGCTGAGAGCAGGCGAGCTGAGGTGCAGAGAAGGGCGAGAGCTCCCCAGGCAGCGCTCCAGGGATGGCCTCATGGCCCGAAGGCAGCACCTCAGGCAGGACCGGGTGAGCAGAGGCTGGGGACTGACTACCTGGCCTGGCTGACACGTGCAGCAGCAGCAGAGGACAAGCGGAAACACGGCTGCAAGTGTTCAAGCAGCATGAACATGTACCTTAGCTTCAGGAAGGGAAATCTAGAAGTATGAGCTGAGGAGGAGTCTCGAGGCATGTAAGACTTGAATGAGAAGAGGCTTGGATTCGGCACCAGAAATGAACAGAGACTGCAGGGACCCAGAATGGGGGACACTGCACAGGTCTCGGCAAAACAAGCCCCATCTGTCCCTTTCTGCGGTCGCCTGGTGGAAGGTCGTCTGAGAGTCAGTGTCAGAGGGCTGACTTTTAACAGGCAGCGCAGCTCACCTACACCTCAGAGCAAACCATCCCGCCAGTACCTTCGCTCTCCCAGGCCTGGAGCTGATCTTGATCTCTAGTGGCACTGCCCAGCACCTCCCGGGGGACAGGCTCCATCCGGGCATCCACCTTCTCTTGCTGGGAGGACTGGCTGAACCCTTCAGTGGCCTTCTGGAAAAAGACGTTCAGCTCCTCAAAGTTCATGGCCTGGAGCTCCGCATAGAGCTCAGCCTGCTGGGCTGCTTCCAGCTCATCCCAGAACTGCAGCAGGTGCTCCTGCCCAGCGCGGGACAGCTGCTGTCTGAGCTCACTGACGTTCATGACGCCTTGGTGCCAAGCTGTGTGGAAACGGGTGTGATTTCTGCACCTAGAAATCTGCAAGAAAAAAAAATCAGCAGGTCAAAGTCCAGCCATGAACCTGGTAGGTTTCCCGTGATAAGCAAGTGCATTAAACACACCTGATGGAAATACATGAACTTGGGCCTTTGCCTCACGGTCCCTGTAAGACCCCAAAGTGGAAAGATAACACTGAGCGTCACATGCCAGACACTGAACACTTCACCCAACGGACTCACTCGGGTGGCAGAGCCGGGACAGGAGCCCAGACAAACTGACTACCGGCGCACACACCACCCTGTGGTTGCCTCCTCTGTATGGTTCCTGTGACCACTCAGCCATCACTGAAAGAGTGCCGGACAGCCCAATATGTCACATCCTACTTTTCCCTCTAGTGACGGCAATAACTGTTGTATTCAGAATACAACAAAATCTAAAACGGGCCCACATATAATCAATTTGATATCAATCATAACTTCTGCAGAAAAGAGATAAAAAACATGTACATTATCTTTACTAATAATTGAACCCTAAGAGGACATTTAGAACCACCAATGGGTAAATATTTCCGTGATGACACAGGAAAGTGTTAAACGGCACAGCACTGGAGGAGGGAGGTGGTGACCTCCTCACCTAACAGCGGAGTGCACACAGCTGTGCCTGGGGGGCTGAGCAGATGACACGGGTGATAGGTATAGGCACAGCTGGCGGCCACTGGGAGCGGGTCTACGTGGCCAGCTGTGGATGATGGGAGGGACTAGGGTTGGGCTACCAGGAAATGCAAAGAGCCCTGAAAACAAAGTAACCACAGCACCTGGAAGCCAACAGCAGGCATTGCCTGCTGCAGAGAACCGAGAAGCAGAGGCACAGGAAGGGCCACAGGCACAGAGGACCAGGCAGCCAGCGCCAAGGACGCACAGTGCTCACTGTGAAGTCCTCCCTGGGCAGCGGCTGCTCAGCTGGAAAGGAAGGCCCCAGGACACAGCCCCCGTACCCATGGGAACAGCGAGGCCTGTCCACGCCTTCCAGCAGTGCTAGAGCAGCACCCGCACGTCAGACACCACGTGCAACTCACGGGGAGCACATCCTAGCCGCCCCGCAGACACGTGCCTCCAGCTCGCAGGTCCCGCAGGCACTGCTACAGGACTACTTTGCAGGAAGAGAGCCACGGAGACATCATGCCCAGGGCCTCCACCTGTGAAAGCTGGGATTCCAACTTCACAGACCGCTCTCAATCCATGCTCTTCACCGTCTAACTATTCTGCCTGTCGGGCAAAAAAAAAGACTATCTGTGTACGTGTGCATGTGCATGTGTGTGTAAAAGAGAAAGGTGGCAAGAGAAACACGTTATTCACATGGCATTTATTCAGAAATATAGACATAACTGATGTTCGTGTAGCTGACTTACTTTGCAAAAACGGCAGTGAAACGGAGGAAGAGAAGGCACAGGACAAGTGGGTGAGGGACTTTATGGGACAGTGTGAAGGAATGACACCCGCTGTAAAACACTTTCCGAGTCACCACTGATTTGCGACCACACTGAGGCTTGACCGGGAAATGAAAATGAAGGCTTGCTGGTTACCATTAGACACAGCTCTACCACGCTGTGCCCTGACACCCTAACCACCCGCCACTTGCTTCCTTCAGTCTCCATCTGCCAGGACCAGCCATCCTCAGAGGCCCCTAACACACTCCAGGCTGAAGAGAGTCTTTATGGGTTTGGGAGTCAAACAGAACCTACTTTTATTGCTGATTCTCTTGCTTGGGCCAAGGAGTAGATACATTCAACTCTGGTTTGTAAAATAGGTACAATGAAATTTCCCTCACAAAATTCAAAGGCATAAATAATCTTATCTTTATAACGGATGAGAAAATGAGGCTCAAAGAGGCTAAGTACTCTACCCAAGGCTACTTACCTCACAGACAGAACAGAAATTCTAACCCAGAATTTTAACCCTGACCCTAATGCTTAAAATCTTGCCACAATCTTTCCACAGCACCTATACTAGTAAAAGGGTAATATGCTAATTACACCGAACATCCATCCAGACATCCTGCCGGACAGCTACAGTGGCAGGGGCCAAGGCAGAGGGGGTTAGGGACAATCAGGCTGGCAGGGAGGAAGTTAGAGATGACAAGGGCAGCAGGGGAGGGCAGTTAGGGGCCATCAGACAGGCAGGCAGAGGCAGTTAAGGGGATCAGGCAGGCAGGCAGAGGCAGTTAGGGGGATCAGGCAGGCAGGGGAGCAGTAAGGGGTATCAGGCAGGCAGGTAAAGTGGTTAGGGTTGATTAGGCAGGCAGGAAGGCGAGTGGTTAGGAGCCAGTGGTTCCGGATTGCGAGACCAGGCCTAAACTAGCAGTCAGACATGCCCTGAGAGGTCTCAGATTGGAGAGGGTGCAGGCTGGCTGAAAGAACCCTCTCTCTTCTCTTATCCCCTCTCCCTCCCTCCCCTGCAAGAATTTCATGCACCAGGCCTCTAGTCTCTCATAAAAGCAGAGGAAATACTAACCACTCAACTGAAGATCTCATGTACAGTTGGGAATATTAACCAGACTGAGCTCTGGGGTCAGAACGAATGGGGTCATGCCCCAGCTCCACTAGCTTTTAACGCTGTGACCTTGAGCAAGTGACTTAATCTTCCTGTGCCTATTTTCTTCATTTGCAAAATAAGGATGAGTCCTCACCTGTAAGGTGCAGAGGATCAGCGTGTCAGTACAATGCTGAGCACTGAGCCTGCACAGGCACCCAGGACACCCTCTCCACACTCTTGTAAAGCATGGTGTGCGCCCAGACCAGAGTCACAGCCTCCTGAACGTGAGGAGGCCGCTATTGGAGTCCAGCTTTGGAGGATGACGTTTGTCAAGGACACAAGAGCTAAGAGAGAAGTCCAGTCAGTGAGAAGAGTATGAAAATAACCCAGTGAGTAAATGCACTCCAGGAGCGGGCGCAGGCTGAGGAAGGTTGCTGCTCCCCGTGCTGCCGCTGCGTGGAGGACAGATGAGGGCCCAGCCACCTCTCACCTACGTGCACGGGCAGGTTCCTGGATATGCAGATACAGTGGGAGCCTTTCAGAACAAAACTATGGAGTTTTGTTGCATTAGTTCATTCAACAAAGATATTGTGAGCGTGGTGCTCACAGTCAGCCAGGTGATGGACACAACAGTGGGAGAAGCAACTTTGCATGCCCACACCCTGGAGGGAGATGGACAGGTGCAGTGTCAGGAGTGTGACAGGGCAAGTGCTACAGAAGAAAGAAAAACAGGATAGCAATAAAGGGTGGAGTGGGCTGAAGAGCAGGGGCTGGCGGCCGGTACGCAGCTAGTGTGGTCAGCAGGGCCTCACTGAGACTTCTGCCAAGACCCTGAACGGCCAGCACCTTGGTGGAGCAGCCGCAGCACAGGCTCATCTGGCTGTTCAAGGGCAGCGCAAAGGCTGATGAAGCTGGAGCCACTTCACTAGGGTCCGGGAGGCCGGAGTCTGGGCAGCCATGGGGGACTTGCAGCAGGGCAGTCTTGGTCTGATTCGGGTTTTAAAGGGTCACATGGCTGCTGTGCGGGGAAAGTGGCCAGCAGAGTGGCAGGGAAGCATCGCATCATCTAGAGGAGAGATGGCCAGGGCTCAGCACGAAGGCGAAGGCGGTTCTGGGCAGGCTAGAGGCCCACAGGCATCCCGCAGCAATGACTGCAGGTGATGTCCCGGTCCAGAGTGGGGACACACAGGTCAGGCGCAGGCACAGGGATGTGTTCAGATCTCCACTCCGGGCCACAGGGGTGTGTTCAGATCTCCACTCTTGGTCTGAGATGGGAGTTCAGAGGTCACAGGGTACAGGACACAGCTCCGGGCTCCATAGCCCCCAGGGAGGGCAGGAGGAAACTAGAGCAGGGGCAGTAGACGGAGCCAGGACTCAGAAGATTTGAGAAGGCCTTTCTATGGATATACCACCGTAATGCCATACTTAACTTTAAGATCACCGTATGAAAAAAAGACAGCTGAGAGACAGGTTTCTATTAAACTATTTTCCAAGCAGTGCAGTCTTTCCTAAGGCTGGGTGATCTCAGCAGGGAGCCACATAACGAGACCAGGAGGTCCTCACCCTCAGCCCCTCCTCACTCCTGGGCCCTTGCAGTCCCTTCCCTTCCTGTGCACACACTTCCAGACAACAGCAGCCCTGCTCCCCCTTCCCCCCATAACAGTTCACAGGGAGAGGGCTCTGCCTGCTCAGTGTGTAAACACAGTTTAAGATATAAGTCAAACTTTTCCAAAAAGCCCTTAGATACCAATGTTTGAGAAAACTCTGATCCTGGCCTAGACCTCCGTGCCTGCAGCGCCCAGAGGTGATAGGCACCCCTGAGGGGGACCAGACAGCACTCGAGCCCGGGACCGATCCTCAGTCAGTGGGAACCGCCTACACCAGCACCCACGTCCCTCACGTGGAGCAGACACAGCATACTGAAGTGAAACAGTAAAAAACATTTAAAAGAAAGATAATCCCTGACCTTTACTTGTGGTAAATAAATAATAAAAAACATAAAGCCCACGTGTACCAACGTCGAAGTGACTTTTTTACGCGAGGATATGTTCCCATTGGTTTTGGGAGAGCTGAAGGGAAGGGGAGACAGACACAGGGACTGGCCGCCTCGGCCCAGACCGGAATGGAGCCCACAAACCAGGGCCAGGCCGGGCCCTCGGCCGATCACACCCGGGCCCTTCCGGCCGGGCCGCGCCGCTCCGCGGCCACGCCGGCAGGCGCTGCCGTTCGGTGAGCCGGACAGGCACGACCGGCCCCACGCGAACCCGCCCGCCGGCTCCGACCCGCGGCCGGCGCCTCCCGCCGGCTGGTCCCGGGCAGCGCCCCCGGCAGGTCCCGGCCGCCGCCGCCGCCGCCCTCACTCCCGCAGCGCGGCGCGGCCGGGCCGGCCTCTGCGCCCCGGGGTCACACACCTCCCGCCACGCGTCCCCGGCGGCGCCCTCGGAGCCGCTGTCACCCGCTCAGGACCCAGGGCGCCGCCACCGCAGTCACGGCCGCCCGCCCGGTCCA